GGGGCGGCCGAGGGCACAGGGCGCGCGGCTTCCGAAGTCGCCAGCAGCCTCGGAGACTTGACTTCGCTCTCTCCTGCCGCCCCCTCTGCCGGTCACGGTACAAATTCTCCGGATCGTCTGGGTTAGGATCCGGCTTTAGAGAATGTGGCAGCGATTTCCACTCACACCGCGGGGAGGCCCAAAATGGAAAGAGAGGGTGGTCCTCAAGCGAAGAAAGGGGTGCGTTGAGAGGTAGATTTTTCTGTTTTAGAAATTAGGTGGCTTGGTCCGGGCGTGGGTAGGGTCCGCAGGGAGAACGTCCGCGCGCGGAGGTGGGCGGGCGGGCGGCAGGGCCCGGGCTGGGGGACTCCGCGCGGCTTCGGCTCCAGTCCGGTCCCTCCCGCCGCGGAAGCTGTAAGACGAGTGCGGAGGATTACTCCCCACCTCTTTGCTCCCTTCCCCCGCGGGCCGGGGGTCGTCGCCTGGCTGGGGAGGGGGCGGGCCGGACGACTGCGATTGGCCGCAGCCGCACCTGGGGCGCCGGTCGCCGCCGCCCCCCAGCTGTTGGGAACAGCTGCTTCTCCCTGGGCGCGGCGCGGCGCGGCGCTGACGGCCCGGCTTGGGTTTAGAAGCAGGCGCTGAGGTAGGGCTAGGGACGACTGGTGACGGCCTGCTCTGGGCGTCGCTTGCTTCAACTCATCAAAGTCTTTAAGACCCGTCACGGCCCCAGCCGGGACCCGGAGCGCGAAGACTGAGCTGGAGAAGGTAGCTGCGTCGCTCTCCAGAGCCCACGACGCGAGCTCTTTGCCCTCGGCCTCGGTGGCAAGGCCAGCGAGACGACCTGGACTTGGCCTCGGCAACAGGGCCGACAACCTGGACTGGGGAGCAGGGGTTCCCAAGGCTTGGGGCAGTTCACTTAAAGTCCACTTCCAGCCTAGGCTCTAGGGGCCAAGGACCTCAGCCAATGATAGCGGAGCTTGGTACTTTGGGGTTTGGAGAGGTAGGAGGGCCCCAACCTTCCTTGACCCTGAAGAGCCGGTGCTGGGAGAACTAACGAGCTAGAGGCAGAAGAAAATAAAGGGCTAGCGCTTAGGTGTGCTTGAGAGAACCATTAGCTTTAATTGTTCACGACCCAGCCAAACGAAGTAACCGTAGATACTGTCTCTCAGGCACCGCCTTCTATTTCAGAGAACCATAAATTAGTACTTTAGCCCCCACAGTCACCAGATTTGTGTTTCCTCCCAACTTCGTTATTCGTGAAGATTGGTACAGATTTCTCATCATATATTCTTTCTTTCTTTTTTCTTCTAAGCAAAGCATTAATCTACTTCCTTCTATTTGAATTGCAGGAATCATCTGTTTTATCTGGTTGCAATTATAAAGGGTGTAATTTTTGAAATCAACTTGTTACATAACTACTGCTTTCTACCAGCAGCCTTTTAAAGCATTTGTAGACTGTACACGTAGTGCACCCTATATAGATATACAAAACCCACTGCCATCTAGTCGATTCTGACTCATAGCGACCCCCGTTGGGTTTCTGAGGGGGTAAATCTTTAGGGAAGTAGATTGCCCCATCTTCCTTCTGCAGAGTGCCTGGTGTATTTGAACAGCCAACCTCTGGTTAGCAGTCAAATGCCATAGGCACTGCGCCACCAGAGCTCTGTTGACTGCTAAGCAGAAGGCTGGCGGTTCAAGCCCACCAGCTACTCCTCCGAAGGAAGGTTGGGCAATCTACTTCCTTAGTGGTACCGCCTCGGAAACCCAAGGAGGAGTAGCTGTGAGTCAGGACTGACGCGAAGGCAGTGAGTTTTGAGTTTTATATATTTTTAAAATCACTTTTCTGCTTTTAGCAACTTTGAAAACTCAGAAGTACATTCAATTAGGCCATAAAATTATTCAATCATACTTGAGATTTTGATGAAAACATTTAATGTGAGCAGAATATTTTACCTACCATTGTCGATGCACGATTTGCTTTTAAGGCATTTCCACCAGGAGTGCCATCTGAAGTCCATACATTAATTGTCCCTGAACTGCACATTTATTCCCTTTAAAATGATTAGGTACCTTAACTTATTAAACCAAAGCCCGTCCCTGGCAACTAAATCTGTCTCTAGTGACCATACAAGACAGACTAGAACTGCCCCATAGGGGGTTTTTTATAAATCTTTACTGAAACAAAAGCAGACTGCCACATCTTTCTCCCTCTGAGCAGCTGGGGGGTTCAAACAGCTGACCTTTTGGTTAGTAGCTGAGCTGCTTTAACCACTACACCACCAGGGCTCCTTGTTAATATATTAGAGACACCCATACTTCTGTTTCTTTTTCCTGGGCACCTTTGCAGTCATTTCAGCAGGATGAGAGATGGTGCACTGGCAAAAACTATTGTGAATACAAATACTCTTGTGCCAAAAAAAAATCCAACTTTTTTTTGTTGTTGCTGTTTTGTTTTTAGCTTGGTGAATTCTACATGAGGTTAACTCTATCGAGGTCATCTGTTTCTCTAAGTTTAAATCTCTGACAGGAGATACGCAGAAATGAGAAATCCATCTAAAGTTTTTTTTTTTTTTTTTTTTAAATCATTTCATGAAAAAAAATTTTACAGACATTTGAGAGCCAGAGAGTGAAATTGTAAACAAACGCCTTTCTTAGTGCTTAACTAAAGCACAGGTTGAAAAGGTACTCTATGTGCTGGCATGATGAAAGATAATTTTTAAAAATTAGAAAAACAAAGCAGGCGGTGAAACAGAAGAGGCGTGCCTTTTAATATTCAACATCTATCTTGCAGCTTCACTTGAGAATTACTGTACTTAGATGAAGCTCGGGCAAAATATTTTTGTGAGGAGAAGCAGAAGCAGCTCATGGAGCAGCCATAAAGAGAAGGACAATTTTGTCTGTTTTACCTCTTTTCCTGCCTAGATGGGGAGCATACTCCAGGCTGGACTATTGTAATCTCAGGGAAGGAGGATGCCTGGGAGTGTAGCCCAGCAGCTTGGATATTCACTAGATAAAGTGTGAGATCAACAAGGTAAGTTTGATCCCAGGTTGGGATACCTGTGTGGTAGAACCCTTTCATTCTGGAAATAAGATATTTCCCTGCCATTGTCCCAGAGAAAATAATGAAGCAGCTCTGCGTCCAAACCCATGCAAGACTGGTATGCTTTCCTCTTTTTAGTGAACAGTAAATATTTGATAGTTTCCTTTGAAACTTTGTTTCATTTTGTATAAAGTGATGTCTGGATATTCTCTGATTTTGAATTTAGAGATACGTAAAGCATTCCTGAGAACACTGGTTGTTAAGTTAATTCACTGACAATAAAGGTTAAGGGGGACAGAGATTTCCTATTTCTGAAACTTATTTAAATAGAGGAGACCTTGGTGATTCAGTGGTAGACATCTCACCTTCCATGCTGGAGGCCTAGATTCAATTTCCAGCCAATGTACCTCATGTGCAGCTACCACATATCTGTCAGTAAAGGCTTGTGTGTTGCTGTGATGCTGAGCAGTGTTTAGCAGAGCTTCCAGACTAAGAAGAGGAAGAAAGGTCTGGAGATCTGCTTCTGAAAATTAGCCAGTGAAAACCACCTAAAAATGACTTGGCAGCTCTGAGGCTCAGTGTTTAAAGACTTAAACAAACGAACAAATAACCAAAAGATCACAATGATCAGATTCCCAACCTATCATGGTGTGGTAGTTATGTTTGTGTGTCAACTTGGCTGGGCCTGGTTGAGTGGCTGGGCAGCTGGTGGTAGTTATTCCCCATGATGAGACTGGCAGTCAACTCCATGGTTGGATCTACCACAAGCAGCTGAGTAGCTGCCTTTGGGATGTGATCTGCTTCCTATGTATAAGGAGAAGCTTTGGGAAAGGTCTCTAGCCTATGGCATGCTTGGACCTTGCATGTAGCTTTGTCGTTGTTGCTCAGCAGCCTGCTGCATGCTCTACCGACCTTGGGACTGAACAATGGACTTGAGTTAATGGCCTGCCATGTGGTTTGGTAACATCAGGACTGTGCCTTTTTACTTGTCAACCTTGGGCTTGGCAGCCTCAGCACCCAGCAGCTGTCTGAGTGAAGAAAAGCCCCTAGCTTCAGTGGGCCAGAAGCTGGAGGCAGAGCTGAAGCCCAAGGCTGAGGGGCTTTCACATAGACCCTAGAGCCTGGCACTTTGAACTTGGACTTAAAGCCTCCAAGATTGTAAGAATAAACTTCTGTTTGTTAAGGCCATCCCATTTGTGGTATATATTCTTGTCAGAGCAGCACTAGGTAACCAGAACACATGGGAATGACATAATCTGGGAAGGGGAGTGCCATGAGTTGGGGCAACTTGAAGGCATAATTAGGTACAATTCAGCTCCATAAACCTTTACCATGCACCTACCACACTAGGCATTGCTGATACTCATTGTGGGTTTAGTTATGTCTACACAGAGTTGAGCATAGTTAAGATTGCCAGATAATTCCTGGTGGATTTCTGAACTTGAGTGATTGGACCCTGTAGCTTAGGGCCATGAAAATCTTTTTGGAATTAAAAGTTTCAAGGTTATGAAGTACCAAATATTTCTGTATAATTGTTGTTAGGTGCTGTCAAGTCAGTTCTGACTCATAGCAAACATATATACAAAAGAATGAAATACTGCCTGGTCCTGTGCCATCCTCATAGTCATTGCTATGTTTGAGCCCATTGTTGCAGCCCCTTTGTCAATCCAGCTCTTGAAAGCTACCCCCCTCCTTTTTTTTTTGACCTTTTACCAAGTATGATGTACTTTTTCAAGGACTGGTCCCTTCCTGACAATATGTCCAAAGGACTGGTC